AATTTGGTTAGGTTTTTTTTAATATTTGAATGAAAAAAATCCAAAATGTTTCTTTTTTTAGATTCTGAATTTTTGGATGAGGAATGTCATAATGAGATATTTGGATAGAAATCTATCGTTTAAAAATTTACATATTTAGTATGAGAGACTTCTACCAAATCTCTTGTTTGTCATCAAACCAGGTTTTTAATAAAATAGAGCAAATGTCTATTTTGTCCCCCTCCCCCATCATTTCTTTTCGCCTCGTCTTCTTCCTTTCGCCTCATCTCCAAAACCCGCATCTAAAATCCTAAATTTTTTCGTCGAGTGCGATCTGTAGATTCCGAGCAGATTTGTTGTCTTGTGCTCATGGGGTGAACTCCAACTCTTTCAAACCCAATTTGAAATTGGAGGGCGTAGTGATATCGTGCTCGAAGGCGAAAAGAGGAGGGCGTCACCCTCAATATTAGATTCGCTCCCCCCTCTCCCCCCCCCCCCCCCCCCAAACAATTCGCAGGCCGCGAGGTAGAGCATGGCTAGACCAGCTTCCTGCCATCTAGGAGGGAGTGGAAGCATGATGGTGGAGAATGGAGATAGGGAGGTGGTGGGGAACAGAATGGAGAGACACAAGATGTCGTTGTGTGGAGAAGATGTCGAAGGGAATATGAAACGCAGGAGAAGGAAGGAAGAAGGTATGAGGATTGGGGTTAGCCGACGAGCGCCTGAAAGGCCTCTCAATCATCCTCGTCAAGTCCTCACTGCCGTTGCTGTCGTTGCTGGAAGGAGAAGGAAGAAGACAGAGGAAAGGAACTCGAATGAACGAGGAAGGAAGGGTAGCAACGGAATGACTGAGGTGATGGGAAAAGTTTGGAAAAGATGAAAAAAGTGAGGGATTATGAACTAGTTGAAGGTGATCAACTATTTCAAAAACCCACATGTGAGGATTTTTAAATGGAGAAAACTCTCATATTTTCAAATATAAGATTGTTTTAAAATCTGACCCAATGAGTGATTGTGTTAAAATCCCTCATTACAATTCTTTATCCAAAATACCCTATGAGTTTGTTTGGCCGGATGCAATTTGGAAGGTAAAACTCACAAGGATGAAATAGGATTGCTATTTTTAAATTATACTTTTGGCTATGTTTGGTTTGATGTATTTGCAAGTAGATTTGTTTCTTTTTATAAATCTCACTTGCTTCATTACTTCAGTGTTATTCATTTTGCACTTTATTGTGTGAGACCTACTTGTAAAACTTTATTTGGGTAATTAATTTGTACAAAATAGTGTGTAATAAAAGTGAGATCCATTTTCATAAAGTGAGTTTTCATAATTACATAAATATCTAGTGTTTGGTTCACTACAGGAAAAAGATCTTTTAATCATGGGAAATACCGTGTTTGAAAGTGTGATTCACGTGTTAAATAGTTTTATTCACGGGAAAATTACCGTAATATATACCTCCGCTTCTAATTGTAAAGGTCACGATAAATTTCTATCATGACTAGTAACAACTAATCACCGTATAATTTCCCATGATAATTTGTACCTATTAATCACGGGGCACCCTGTGACTAGTACCAATTCTTTCCACACAAATCCGACAAAAAAAAAACCATTTAGAGACGAGATATACACCTTTTAACACAGTATTTACCGTGCCAACTTGTTTCCCATGACTAGATGTCAATCATTAGTCATGGTATTTGGTTGGCTCTCTCGTATCTAGATATTAGCAAATGGTCACGGTGTTCTACTATGACTAATTATCAATCACTAGCCACGATTCCACCATACATAAAATTCCGTATATTAACATACCATTGAAGCCAACTCTTATAACATGAAATTCTAACATTATTGTCAATACAATTATATACCATTCATTAACCAAAGCTAATTAACATATAACTGAAAATACTAACTATTGTAGTATGAAACTCCGACATAATGAAAATCAGTTAAAAATCCAATCAGTCTAACCAAATCATCGAAAGTTATCCAAATCTTTGGTTTATGCTTGCTTCTACAAGATATTATTGAGTAGTTGCAACATCCATCAATTCGCGAATCTTCAAGTGTTTCTCATCTTGAAAAAACATAGTAAATAACTTAAAATTACACCATATGTTTTAGACATAGAAATTTGATAAGAGATTGGCAAATACACTAGATGTTAGAATTTACATATTGAATGGACCAAAACTATCAGTTGCAAACTATCCTCACCAGGAAAAAGCGTTTTAGATACCTTTGCAAAATTGTCTCTAACAATAGGGCACCTAAATAAGCTAACATGGCACGTTAATCAGCATTAGAGTGCTTAATCTACTTACTTCAAAGAGAGGCTAACTGACAGATCTTTGCCAATCACAATCGTCACTGATCCCATAGAAACTCAGCACATACATTTAGGGGTCGTTTGGAAGTTGCGATTGTTAAATAGATGTATTGTTGAGAATGCATGTATAATATTATACATGTTTTGTCGAATTTGATGCATTGTAGAATACAACGTTTAGTATGTGTGATTGTTTATGTCGCATCAGCTAAAAGCTGAGACAAAACAATCTCAACTCAACTATCTCAACAATCACAATTAAAAGTTGAGATATAACAATCACTCAAAATGAGTGATAGTTTCTGTCACATCACAGAAACAATCAATGTATTGTTTATGCTAAAAAAACAATACATTGTAAACAATACATGCATAATGACAATCTCAACAAAACTATCGCAACTTCCAAACGACCTCTTAGACTTTGCCTTTTACCCCGATGCATGTTGTAAACAAGTGGACATAAAAAAAAAAATGTAAAAGAAACAACAGCTAAAAGATCATGTGGTAAGCAAGTGGAAGACACGACAAGGGTTCAAGACACCCTGCTTCATGAATCACCCTGTCAGTTCTCACAAGAAACTACAAGGACTGAAGTATTCAGAATAAGAGGAAAAACATAAAATAGTTCTAGATGAGAGCTCCATCTACCTAAATTTTGTAGATTAACATGAGGCCTAGCAACTCCAAGGTCCAACCCATGATTCCGAAAGTGGCCTCAAACAACTGTAGCAGCATTCCTGGATGCAACTGGCCTCCAATGAAGAGTTCTCTACTGAACAATTAAAGAAGCTATCAGCAATAGAACAACCCATCTTAGTGTTCAAGTCTCTTGACCTGCAGAGAAGACAAATACACTTAGCTTTGGAATCTCTATTAGAGAAGTACATATTTTTTTTTTCCAAAGAAGGATTGTACAGTAATTGCACAACCTCCTCCCTCCCTTATATAATTCATCAATTGCAACAACTTAGTACAAGGTATAGGCTTGAATCGACTACTATTTGAGGAAATTGCAGAGCAAGACTATAATTTCCAGCACCAATTGCCAAGACGCACCTAGATCATGTGATGGCCGGGTTAGCTAGGACAGATTGGGCATTCAAATCTCGATCAGAACAAATATTAACCTACTGTTATGCTGCTAATTTTACAGCTTTTGGTTGCTGTTGTGGTGCAGTTATTGCTGCCATGGCGTGAGAAGACACTTTTAAAGACTCAGGAAAGAGAGAATACACAGAAAATTGACAGGACTAACATACTCGGAGCTTACCAACGCCCAATGCAGTCAAAAGCGCGATTCTATCTAGAAACGGAGTGCTATACCAAGAAGCGAGATGAACTTTACCGCAGTCTAACTTCTACAATTGGAAGAATTGAAACACAGTAGAGCATTATCCATAAAGGAAATGGTCTATTTGATTCAGGGTTAAGAAATCCCTGTGGCTACAAATCTAGTAATCTACCTCTAAAATGACGATCCTAAAGCAATTCTGAGAGCTTCACAGCATCAGTGTCATCTCCTATGTCTACTTTGTACACATGCAAGAACCATACCTAATTGCAGGACCAAATCGGCCCAATGCTGTCCCTGTGTATTGCCCTTAACATTCTATTTTAGAAACTAGAGGCTATTGGTGGTGGTAGATAAAACTATCCCTTCATTCTATTTTTAGAGGAATCCATTTAAAGTTAAGATTTACGAAATAATGTAGAAAATAATATTGAATATTGAGACAAATAAATATTTTTTTTAATCTCTGACTTATAGAGACTAATATATAGTTGCATCAATTTTTCATTATCAATAATCTCATAACGCAACCATAAACATGCCTTTAATTTATTATATTTTAATTCACATATATAAAATATTTATTTTAAAAGCGAATGATACTAATAACTATAGAGGCAAATGATATATTAATACTTATAGAGGAGACATTTTACAATGCTATACAGTATTGGTGCTATAGATTTTTACCTTTATTGTCAAACCGGGGTGCTCAATTAGTACGATATTGTCCGCTTTGGGCCAAGCCCGCACGGTTTTACTCTTGGGTGTCCTCCCCAAAAGGCCTCGTACTAAAGAGATTGGTGGACACTAATATACAAGGGTTCCTTCCCTTGTATTACCGATGTGGTACTTGGATTGTACCTTAACATTTATGGTACAACTTGAAATTGTACCTTTAATGTTATGGTACAATTTCAGATTGTACCTATACTTTTTGTACAAATTCTTTTATGGTACAACTTAAACTTGTACCTTATGTGATGGTACAACTTCAAGTTGTAAAGCTGTACCATAACATAATGATACAAATTCCTTTATGGTACAACCTAAACTTATACATTTAATGTTATGGTACAACTTCAAGTTGTACATTAAAGCACCAATACTATATAGCATAATAGAAGTGCTCCTTATAGAGACAAATCATAAATTTGATGTTTATAAGATACTTTTAAAGACAGATATTGCATTCGTCACAATATTTTAGTCACTATAGCCAAGTTTTTCTTGTAGTTCCACCACCAACCATAAACCTCCTCTTAGTTGGCTATCTATCGACGAGAAGACCTAAGATTTCACGAAAATCTAGGAAAAATCACTATCCGGAGCTCTTGCAACTCTAGAGAGAAAAAAAGGATTCTTTAGGACCATATATAACCTAACACATTAGGTTCAGTTGGAAAATATATTGGATAGATACAAATCTGAAGGAAAAGATGCGCTTCAAAAGTCACAATTATTTCAATCGATACCAAAGTTTATCTTCACAAATTTCTGGAGGTGTTAATTAGTCTCAAGGTATCCCAACAAATCATGAACATAACTGTCATGCTTCTCCGTATCACCAAACAACTCTTTCATTTCCATGGCTTTAATTCGATAGATCTCTCCTTCTTCTCCCAAAACCACCGTCGTCAACGAGTCAGCAACCGAGTCCCTTGTAAATCGCCCATCTCTTTCATCTCTAGGAACCAAATAACCCGCACCCTTTTGCTGAAGCAGCTTAGCATTAAGCCCTTGGTCATTGTAACAAATCAACAACACCAGCGGCCGTCCAAATTGAAGCCCTTCCACAACCGAGCTCCACCCGGAGTGAGTAAAGAACCCGCCCACAGAGTCGTGGCACAAAATCTTCACTTGTGGTGCCCACTCCTTCCAGACCACTCCTCGCCTCTTTGTTCGATCCTCGAACCCTTCAGGCAATTTCGAATCGTCGGGACTCTGCCGGGTACGGAGAACCCAAAAGAATGGCAGACCGGATAGCTCTAACCCATTGGCTATCTCTGTTAGCTCTTCCTGACTCCATGTTGCCTCGCTCCCGAATGCCACGTAGACAACTGAACCCCTTTTTTGCTCATCCAACCATTCTTTAATCGATCCCGAACTCTGCCAGTCATCTCCCTCTATCTCCTCGATTGGCGTCGGAAGCTCTCCCACCGGTAATACCGGCTTTTGATGCATTTCCTGCAGTAAATTTAGCCAACGGGATTCAAGCTCTCCGCAACTCCTAACCGCGATCAAATTGCATCCTTTCAATGTCTGACGAAAACGATAAAACTCATTGGGATGCAAATCGTCGCCAAGAATCATGGGGAAAATCTTCTCCGCCTCGAAATACCTGAAAATTTTGAAACATGGATCAACAGAACAATGCATTTCGAAAGCGAATCCTCCGCCTTCAATTTTTTTTTTTTTTATGAATCCTCCTCCTTCAAATATCTGTAGCTAAATAATAAATTGGCATAACAATTTGTTCTAAATTTATCTTGTGGAATCATGTTTACGTAAACTGTACCACTGATTAATCACTAATGATATACAAAAATGTGATGTGACTATTGTACACTAAATTTTCATTGACAAAATGTAAAACGAAGATGTATACTTGTATAGTTAATTAATATCAATATAGAGTAGTTTACAATGTACCTGTCCATTCAAATTAACCAAAAAATAAAATATATAAAATATAAAATGAAATTTCTATTTTACTTTTTTTGGGTAATTTGAAAATGATAAATTTTATAAATTAACCAAAAATTATCAAATTATTTTATATTTTTATAGTTATCCAAAAAATAAAATATATAATTTATAACATATTTTTTAAATTTATAAAATTTAATTTGATAATTTATGGTTAATTTATGAAATTTATCATTTTCAAATATCCCAAAACATAAAATATAAATTTTATTTTATATTTTATAGATTTTATTTTATGGTTAATTTGAAAAATGATCAATAGTATAAATTAGAAAAATAATTTGAATTTTGTTAATAATTTTTAGGTTGACGAGGAAATGACATGGCGTGATGACTAACGGTCAATGGTGTTGATCATCGAAATTGACGGTCAAACCATGTGTCAGGCCAATTGAGTCTATATGCTGCATAGTTGAGGCCATGATGTTAATTTCTGAAACCACGTGCCAACGTTGATTATATGATAATAGTTCGGGCCAAAATAAGGTATGTACCTTAAAATTTAACGAGTAACATCACTTTGATTTTAATTTGGGATTCTTAAATTTTTGACAAAATAATTATATTGATCATACTCTTCTAATTAATGAGATTTAGTTTTAATACATTGATCTAGCTATATTTTGCCACTGTAGGTAAAGTTTGATACTACATTACATATCATATCATATCATATCAGGGTAAATGATACATTTGGTCACTGAGATTATTAAATTGTGTCATGTTTAGTCACTAGAAAAAATTAATATCAATTTTGGTCACTCGAATTATCGAAACTGGTCAAATTTAGTCACTCTCCCGTCAGTTTCCGTCCAACTCCATTAATGTAGTTGGACGGAAACTTTTGGGAGAGTGACTAAATGTGACATGTTTCAGTAATACGAGTGACTAAATGTGACATTTTTCAATAATTCGAGTGACCGGAGTTGGACAGAGGCTACAGAAGAGTGACCAAATGTGACCTGTGTCAGTAATTCGAGTGACCAAAATTGATATTAAATTTTTCTAGTGACTAAATATGACACGATTTAGTAATCTCGGTGACCAAATGTGTCATTTACCCTATCATATCAAGATGTGGTTTAAAAAGACATTATGATGACGATAGCAATATAACATTGTGTAGAATGATGATACACATATTAGTATGCATATCCTAGCAACCTTCTACCATCATCTACTACTATGGTGTATGGTGGTATATTTGTTTTAAGTGGTACATGATGGTAACTGGTGGTGAAAAAAATTTCTTTCATATATAATTTATTAAGTCATCAAATTATTTTCCATTATTCACTGAAAGGAACGTATGGTGGTAGATAAGATACCTCCACGCTATGTCGGATTCAAACGGGACCCACTTGGGTTTGACCATGATCTCCTCCGCGCTTCTCCTATAGTCTTGTTCCTCATCCGCCGGCGGGCTGGTGAACGCCAACACGCTGGCGATGAATATGCTGAAGAACACGGTCGGGATTCCGAGTTCACGAGCGACGGCGGGCAGCCAGAATGGTGCATGGTCGAAGAGGATCCAATCCGGACGGGATTTGCTAAGAAATCCCGAGAGTGGTTGCCGGAGAAGGTCGTACGCTCGCTTTAGGTAGAGGATCTCATGGCCCTCCAGGTCGGAAGTTGCCTCGGCGGTGGTCGGGAGGCCGTCGACGGGAGGCAGGGGAAGCTTGACGAAGGTGATGAGAGAGGTGAGAGATGGAGGGAGTTGGGGAAGGCGATCGATGTTGCGCGGAGTGGAGATGAAGGAGATGTTGTGTCCCTTTTTGGCCATGATCTTGGCGAGTCGGAGGAAAGGGAGCATGTGGCCGAAGGCCAGCCATGGGAACATAGCTATGTGAAGAAGCTTTCTGTCCCCTTCGCCGCCGGCCATGTTTGTGACTCAGCAAGCTGCAATATTTAAATGAATCGTTAATGTTTGCTGAAGAGTGAGAGATGCATCTTATCATTAGTTATATAAGAAGAGCATATACATTTTATTTAAATGAATCATCGTCTGTTTCTAAATTGAGATGTCGATTCAAATTTTTTTTTTAACTATAATAAAATGAAAAATAGATATAGCATTTTATTTAACCAGTATTTTTTTTCCCTCTCGTTGAATTGGAATTGGATGCTCTCTTTTTTTTATATAGAATTGGATGCTCTATTATTGATTGTGAAACTTTCAAAACGACGGGTGCCCTCTTGTGAAAAGATTTGAGTCTACAACAATCCCACTAAAATCAGACCTATACTTCACCAACAATGCTATTATTTAACCACTAATTTCAAAGAAAATTAAATATAAACTTTTAATTTTGTACTTTGCAAGAAATCATTATCAATCAACCATCACCAGAAATAATTGATTCTAATAATTTATGATTTGATCCACTGGCAAATCTACAATGATTTGATTTTGCTTTGCTTTGCTTTTTGCTTTGCTTTGTAGAGTTCTCTTTTTGTTTGTTGATTTAGTGCAATTCATCACCATTATATATATATATATATATATATATATATGTGGGTGGCTATTTCGGTGCACCCACTTTTTTGAGTGCACTGAACGCACCCACTTTTTTGTTTAATCTCAACCGTTGAACCCATCTAACGGTTACAATAATTTGATTTATTTATAATTCATTATTAACTAATCAACTATATTATATTTATTAAAACAATTTATACTTAATGACAATTGCAATCAAGTCCCTCACGTACTTAACCCTCCTGTTCGCCGTTTGTTTTTCCCTCTGGCACCGTCAATAGTTTCTCGGTGGCAGGCGACGATTAGTTTCCCGTGCCTGGCAACTGCCATCGTCGTCCTCCGCTACTAACCCATCTCATGCGCTCGACATGGAATCGGAGAAGACAGATTTCTGTTCTTGATTCGTTCCCAAAAATCCTCACTTTTTGAGAGCTCATCCGAATGTGTTCGGAATTCGGATCGAAAACAGCCCTTCCTTCTTCAACCTCCTTCTGGTTCTGTTCTTTTACACGCAGCATAGGGGTCCAGCGATGTTTGATTTAATTTGCTACAATCCGTAAAATTGACGCCTCAGTATCGCTCCAGTCTGAATCAAGCACTAAAAAAATCAGTTTCCCCCTTCTATTTCCAGTTATCGAGCTGAAGCCTTCCCCTGCGTCTCCGTCGCGGCAAAAGGAAAACAAAAAACACAGATCATTTGACTACTCAAGACTGGCTCTGTCTGAAAATCGCTCTGTAGTCCCTATGCAATCAATCGTCGGCGGCGATAGGACCCGTGTTCGCGAAACCCAGAGGCACAGCAACTCAGCAACTCTTCGGCCGGAGCAATTGAAGACCTGGACTGGATCGACAGGATGAGCTGGATATAACCGAGAAGAATCACCGAGAGACGCGAGGAGTTGGACCTGACAGAGCTGTTATCTGAAGGGCGAAGACGATGCAAGCGACGGCTATTGGCGAAGAAATACTCCTGGTTCGCATGGACAGGAGCAGAGACGAGAGAAGCGGAGCTCGAAGAAAAGATGAGCCATCGCACCACAACTCAGTGCTGAAGCGCCGATTGAAGAAATTGGAGAAGGAAACACGAATTCGTCAAGGAAACGATCGAATCGAAGGAAAACAAAGGCGAATTCGTCGAGAACTCGAACGAATCGACCAAGAAAGCAGCGGAATCGAAAAAGAAAGTGGCGAGGCAAGAAGAGGAAAGGATCGACAACACTCGAACAATGGAAGAGAAAGTGACGATTTCATGGAACAAATCAAGAACGAAAAGTTATTTTCTCTGATTCCATGTTGAGCATGCCAGAATCGCCTGAGACAGTTTAGTGATGGAGGACGACGATGCCAGGCACTGCAAACTATTCGTCGCCTGCCACTGGGATAGTATTGACGGTGGAAGCGGGAAAAAGAAACGGCGAAGAGAAAGGGTTAATGTTAGGGGTTTAATTCAATTATCAATAACTATAAATTTGTTTAATAAATATAAAATAGTTTATTAGTTAATAATTAATTAAAAAATTATCAATTATTCTGAACCGCTAGATATATTGAAACGGCGAAGACGCTACTATATATATTATTATTATTATTTTTTTTTTTTTTTTTAAGACCCTGTCCGGAAGGCCTCCTGGCGGCTGCCGGCTGGCACATCCATTGCCCGGCCAGAAGCATGATTCCCGCCTCCCATATTCTTTTCGGTAGTAGTTAGAGCGATGGATCAACATCCAGTCGGCGGACCATCGTCGGAAAGATCTTCGAATTACTGTTCATATATATTGGGAAGAAACGACGTATAAAGAGGACAAATACTTAAATAATAAAATAGTAAATAGTTTAATAATAAAAAATTATGTACTTGCAAGTTGCACTCAATAATTGCATTAGATACAAGATTGTAATGATGTCAACATTAATAAAATTATTAATGAATATCATGTTCAATATAAAATTCTAATATGCATGTCCTACGCAACAGAGTATTGCTTTCTAATAAACAGGATTTTCTCACCACATATAACCATAATTAAAAAAAAATCCTAAAATAAAACACTTATAAAAAAATTCCCAAAATACCTAAGTTTGGAGCGGTTCGAGTTCAATGAACTCGAATCACTAGTTGGATCGAGTTACAAAGCCTCGATCCATTTTCTGAGGTAGTAGATCGAGTCTGATGACCTCGATTCACTACAAGAGGTAGTGGATCAAGGTCTTAGGACTCGATCCATTACATTGAAATTTTCAATAGTTTTAACTTTGTTCTCGGTTATCCGATCGTAGTAAATTTTTTTTGATTCCGCGTAACTTTTCGAGTACAACTTTTTTCATAGAAATATTTTCAGAGTGTATGTGAAATGTGAAAAATAAAGCTAACCTCATTCTCAAAACCCCTTATATCCAAAAATATTTCCTATTTTGAAACTTTCTTCCTATTAAAAGTTGTAGTATTCAAAAATTTATTCAAAATAAAAAAAAAATTCATTACAATCGGTTATGGAACACAAATTTATGATCATTTAAAATTTGGTAAATCGAAAAAATGTCATTTGCTACTCCAAACGACCAATTTTTTCGATTTTTGCCAAACTTTGGACGATCATAACTTTGTGCTTCGTAATCCGATATTCGCAAAGTTTGTTTTGATTTTGCACAAATTTTTGAGTCCTACAACTTTTACTAGGGTGAAATTTTCAAAATTGGAAATCTTTTTGGATATAAGGGGTTTTGAGAATAAGGTTAGCTTTACTTTTCACATTTTCATATACATTCTGAAAATGTTTCTATGAAAAAGTTGTAGTCCTCAAAAGGAATGAAAAAAAATTTCACTACGATCGGATAACCGAGCACAAAGTTAAGACTATTGGAAATTTCAACGTAGTGCATCAAGGCCATCAGACTCTCTCCACTACCTTAAATAGTAGATCGGGACTCTCTTACTAGTCAATGAACTCGAACCACACCGAACTTAGATATTTTAGAATTTTTTTTAATTATTGCTGTATTTGGCAAAAACTCCCTAATAAACACGACTAAAATACCACTCTCTAAAATTCAAACGCTCTCCCTTTTGTCTAGAAACACCCATATAGAGGATCTTACAATAAAGACAACTCAGATCTTACCACCTAACATCTCTGGAAGGATACTGAAGCACACAGATTCAACAGCGTAGCAAATCAAACTACAACAAGGAATTATAAGATTAATTATTAAAACTAGATTTGTTATGCTTTGCTGCGGCTAGTATTGGGAGTACACAAACTTATTGTGCATAATTATGTATAACATATCACATCACTATTTATAGAAGATTTTTGTGTGTTTTTTCTATAAATTTTAATGAGCTATTTTTTTCGTTTTAAATAGTAACTTTTTTTTTTTACAAAAATAAGTTAGATTAGATTGTGTTTCTCAAAAATATATCCATTTTGATATATTTTGAAACAAGAAAATAAAGACATTTATTATTAGTCTATTACATGGATGATGGTAATGCTTGATATATTGCATAAGTTTCAGCTACAGAGCAACCGCCACCTGCATCACAGTACCGCGATCCTTATGTTGCCCGTAGCCGTATGCATGATTTCGAGCAGGGGATTGCATACATCGATGCCCGTTTGTCCCATGAGAAGAGGGCTCGGCGTTCTCCCAAGACCATGAAGGAGGGCTCCACAGCCATTTTGGCCTCGATGTGTTTGTTCCGAACTAGAGCGATGAGTGATGGCACCCAGGGCCACTTCGCATTTTTTGTACAATGATCATCAATGTGTAATAACACAAATCCCTTTGACTGTTCGACGATGTTTTCTATGATCCCAAGTTGTTTTTGTCCTTCTCCAGTTCGTTGAACATTCATCATCTATTCCATAACTTCGTTCCATCTTTATCTCCCCTCCATTTCAAAATTCGATTGAAATTCCCTCTTCTTCAACTTCTTCCTCCGGCCGAAACGATCCCAGAACGGAATACACCTACCTGCAACAAGAACGAAAAACTAAATAGATAAAGGGGCAATAAAATAGACTTGTGGCGTGATTTTATAAATATGTGGTTTGCTCTACGTTACTTGTGGCATACAATAATAAACTTGTGGTGTACGTTATTGGTCATGTTGTGTGCTTTAATGAACTTATGGCATGCGTTTCTAAACTTGTGGTTTGCTTTGTGCAATCGTGTAATAGAGAGACACACTTGGTGTACCATGGCTCTCGATTTGGGCCAAGTGCTCTGGTCGGAGATGGCGAATGATTGAGTGAATAGAGGGACGAAAGAAGACTACTTTGTGCATCGTAATTGCTCGGATCGAATTCAACGGAGAATGGGGGTTGTGATTACAAAGTTATGGACCGTAATTGGACTCGATTGAAGTTGAATCGTTTGTCGCAATGGAAGAGGCGGCGAGAGATGGGAGATATAAACATATAGAGAGAGAGAGAGAGAGAGAGAGAGAGAGAGAGAGAGAGAGAGAGAGAGAGAGAATGTGGGACAAATGAAGGGATGTCGTTACGAGGAGGTGAGAAAAG